GTAAGTGCTTGGGAGCCATATGACTGCTCCCTGGGAGCAGTAGAAGCCTGGGTGGAAGCAGCAGACTGGCTCATCTTGGGGGAAAACTGAGGCAGTGGCAGTTACAGGGTGGCTCTGGGCTATCAGGGCCTCCTGTTAGTTACAAGCCCTTTTTGCTGAGGCTGTAGCTTTAAGGGCTCCAGGGGAAGGGAGGGATATAGAGTTTGGCTGAATGTGGACAAAATGGCCAGCAGGGCATATTGGGAAGGGCTGGAGACCCCCTATTTTGAAATAGCTGCAGCTGCCCCGTCTACACTGCCCCGGTTTCTAAATAACTATTTCAGAAGATGCATTATTCTTTGCAGAATGAGGTTTACAGATATTGGAATAAGCCGCCCATTATTTTGAAATAATGCAGTTGCAGTGTAGACACTTGCAGCATTATTTCGGAATAGTGGCTTTTATTCTGAAACAACTTTGCTATATAGAAACACCCTTTGTGAAGAGGAATATGTTTTTTTCAAAATCGTTATTTCAGGAGTTATTATTTTGAAATAACTTATTTCAAAATAACCTAGTAGTGTAGACATAGCCTCAGTCAACAGTTTCCCAGGCATACTGTGGACTTTGCAGTTCTCCTAAGATTTTGTGAAAAAAAAATTAAAAATATATTTCTCTGATTCCCAAAGGGATAATAAAGCACATATCAGAATGCTTGAAAATGTAATCAAATTGCATTTTAAACATAAAACTTAAAAACAGCAACTGCCTCCTTATGAGCACGAGTAAAGTAAGCTATAAAATTACTAATTACTCTGCAAGAGCAAGAAACATCATGATGACAATAATAGACTGACAGAGCCTTTCCATCCTAACTTCCATTCCTGTTCAGTGTGGCTGATAACCAAATGCTTATATCTCAGTGAGCTAAACTTTAAGCATGTGTTTCAATCCTTTCTTGAGAGAATGGCTTTCTGAATCAGAGCTTAAATCCTGTTTTCATTTATTTTTAAACTTGCGATGTGCCAAGGATTTAAGTTCTCAATGAGCCTGGGTGCATATGATTTGCTTTGAGACTTCCAGTTAATGAAGAGGTATAAGCAACTGAAAATGACAAACCCACAAAATAGTAAATTATTTTCATAGTTTTTACTCTTTAACTGTTCCACTATGTGAGACAAATTTCTGTATTCATCTTGCTACACCCATAGGGTGTGTCTAGACTACAGGGTTTTGTCGACAAAAGTGGACTTTTGTCGACAAAACTAAACCTGCGTCTACACCACCGCTGAGTTCTGTCGACATAACATCGACAGAACTCAGCAGTTTTGTCGACGCTGGTAAACCTCATTTTACGAGGAATAACGCCTTTACGAGGAATAACATCGACAGAAGGCATTATTGCTTCTAAACTGTCCTTTGTGCCTACACTGCCATGTCGACAAAGCAGCTTGCTTTGTTGACAGAACTGAATGTAGTCTAGATGCTCTTTGTCGACAGAAGCTTTGTCGACAGTATCTGTCGACAAAACTTCTGTCGACAAAATCCTGTAGTCTAGACGTACCCTTAGACATATCAAGTGAAACGGAGGCATGTTATATAGGCCCAATCAGCTCATCAAGTTAAAGCTGTAGCAAGACTGCATATGGACATACTTAAAGACAAGTAGAGAAAAGCAAGTTGTAGCTTGAAGAATGAACAGAATTTATCACTGATAATCCATATGTTTGATTTGTGAAAACCTTTTCAAAAAACTTCTAATAGCAAAGATTGGTGAGGGATTTGAAATAGGTTTTTGAAAACATCCTCTCATTAAAACTAACACCAGCAAAATAGTGGCTCATGACTCCTTTGAAAATTCAGATCTTATCTTTGTACCTCCTTGATGAGATTGATTGCTAGACCACAAGAAACAAAGATACTAAATTATTTTTATGACAACATATCCACAACTGGAAAGACTGTTCCTGTGCAAAGAGTCTTCAGTCTCCTATGTGCTTCTTATTTACTTCTTAGACCATTAGATAACTGTACAACAGGAGGCACAGAATGAGCATCACTGAGTACTGTGGATGCAATTTCCTTATAGATAACAGCACATCTCGAATTAAATGATCAAATCATTGGTTATGTACACAGTAAGTGAACACCAGGAAATTACATTTATAGATTCCTCAAAAGAATGGCTTTGTCCCCCTTTCTTTGTTTCAAAACCTAAAATCGCTCTGTGATAACATGTTGGATTAAAAATGGTAAATACTGTTCCTTAGTATCACTATTATAAAATGGGAAGTACTGGATATCTAATTTGTGTTATAGACAGCTCTTTTGACCCCTGTCAGCAACTTTCTGAAATTCTTAAAATGTTCTTATAGCTCCTCTTCATTATTTAATTTTTGTTTTCCTTGTGAAGGTCAGTAAATTCTTCTTATTTCACCATTTGTTCCAGAAAACTCAAAATCATGTCCTTATTTCTTTTCTCAAGAAAAAGCAGAGGTAAAAATGTCCTTATATATGGCTACAAGACAACAACATATATTGGTAGGCTCAGCTTTAATTGCTTTGGATTTACTACTTGTTGTGACTGAGAAGTTCAGAAATCTTAGACATGTTAAGAAAATAATAACATAAGAAGGGCCATACTGAGTCAGACCAAAGGTCCATCTAGCCCAGTACCCTATCTTCCCAACAGTGTACAATGCCAGATATCTCAGAGGGAGTGAACTGAACAGGTAATCATTACTTGATCCCTCTCTAGTCATCCATTTCCAGTCTCTTACAAACAGAAGCTAGAGACACCATTCGTACCCCTCCTGGCTAATAGTCATTGATGGACTTAACCGCAATGAATTTTTCTAATTCTTTTTTGAACCCTGTTAAAATTCTGGTCCTCATAACATCTTCTGGCAAGGATTTCCACAGGTTGATTGTGTGCTGTGTGAAAAAATCTTCCCGTTGTTTGTTTTAAACCTGCTACCTATTAATTTCATTTGGTGACTCCTGGGGTGTGTCTAGACTACATGCCTCCTTCGACGGAGGCATGTAGATTAGCCAGATCGGCAGAGGGAAATGAAGCCGCGATTAAAATAATCGCGGCTTCA